GGAAAGTGTCGCGCGTTCGCCGGACGATAACACCTACCTACTCCGATTCGGATAGGCCAGTATTAACGTGCGGGGCGCGAGCTGGTTTTAAATCAGCACAAATTCCGTAAGTGATTGTGTGGACGTTTTAGTGTCTACGCGCTTGCGTGAGTAACGACTCGGTGCTGGCTAAAAACCGGACAGGGTGCTCGGCCCTTGTTCCGCGTAGAACTCGGTATTAACACCGATCGTACCTTCGCGCGTGCGGCGTATGACGGGTAGCGCGACGCGCTTCCCGTTTGACCAGAGTGGTCGTTGAAAAAGGTCGTTCATTTAAGGTGGCAATGTAACTGAACCCGGCTGGGCGCTGACTACGTTGTACCTACTCGAACGACCTAACCGACTGGTAACCATCGTGTGTGCGAGTGGTAACGTGTACGGGTGACGGGTGGTTGATAGGCCACGGGATCTCAAAATTGTGTGGCTGCTGTACGCTGTTGGCTGTTCCGTGAAGAACTTCGCCATGCTAGCTTACAGCGCCAGCCAACGTGACTCGAACGTTTTCGTTTCGGTCGATTGGTGTAACGATTACGTCGATATTTTTTTTTTTTTTTTTTTGATTCCGAGGCGGCTTTGAAAAGTTTGTCGTTCTATACGTGCGCGGTCCCTGCCTGATTTGTGGTCGACTGGAGCTTGGACTGTTGTGTACCGGCTGGCCGTCCGTGGATATTTACATAGCCCTAAAGCTAGCAATGTTGTCCCCGGACGGTGGCCTATACCAATCGCTAGCGTCAGTGTCTTCCAAAATCGGTGGTGTGTGGGTGTACATGCGTGAATACGCGAGTATTGAACGACTATTATCAAATAATTTACGCCGACGTAAACAATGGTCAGCTGTTGACGGCCGCCGATGTGTTCCAAATATAGCGAAACTAGGTCACGGAATCGGCGGCGGCGGCGGTGACGACGACTGGTTTTGACGTCGCGGTCTGCGCGCTGCGCTGTTATCGGCAATAAAGTCGCGGACGAAAGGTGAGCGCCGGGAAGGGTGGCAATACCACAGATATATACAATAACTAGATAGCTAACTGATTATATCTGACGCACTATGATTAGAAGCCGAACGCCATATGCGTGGTAGTCAATGTTTTTGTTTGTTATCACTTTATCAATTCGAATTTATCATCATATTATTGTACAGATATTATATCAATAATTTATTGCATACATCTTTGTATTATGTACAGTCAATTATTGCTAATATAATTTTTATTTTTCATAAAAAAAATTGTTTTATGTGATTTTTAAGTACTTAATTAAATATGCCGCAGAACATTTCTTTTTGCTTCTAACTGATAACTTGAAAAACATAAATATACCAAATTTAGAAAATAAAATAATTGCACTTGTCAATAATAAATTTGTGCTTGATCGTAATATATTTAAGACACTTAATTGTGAAAATGTATTATATTGGTCGAGTACCCACTTATAGTTTTTACCTGGTTATACTTGTTTAATCTCTTTTCCGTGGTTCATACATTTATATAATATTATATATTATATAGTTATATATTTGTTATACTACTTATACTTATACGTACTTAACAATTTTATTTTATATTTAAATAAATTACTTATTAATTATTATTAGTAATAAGTAATAACAATTTAATTTAATATATTGTATTTCATAGTGATAAGAAATGATAACAATAATTAATGTAAACATTGACTACCACGCATATGGCGGTTGACTTCCGACTGTACGATAGTTAGATATCTAGTTATTGTATATATCTGTGGGCAATACGTTATGTAACTGCTTCCCATTCCGTATCACGGTTATTTTCGATCGCGCGGATTTCCCCTACGTAGCAGAGTTATACCTAATGGTTAATACCTATTACGTAATCCTAACTTGGGTAGATTGGAAATCCTAGCTAACCGGAAAAAACACACTCCTGGTTAAATATCTCAATACTAAATGATATAAGCAAATAATCCGAGGTATGTGTCAACGTGAAAAACTCTTACCTTTTCGCTGACCGGACTAATTCCTCTGCGGGGAGCCATTTGACGCGGACACGATGATTGCTTCAAGGTTGATCGTGGTCCGGTCGAAGTGTTTGGTTAGGATTGAGGTGATGAAATAAACACAACACAAACACTTTAAGAATGTCACAAATTATGTATTATAATATTGCGACCAAAATATAACAATACATGACGTGCCGCTCGGGCAGATGAGTTTAACGTCGGACGATATGTTATCGGTCCGACGGTCCGATGGTGGATCTCGAATCGACTTTTCCGCCGACCGTTGTACGTTTTACGCGACACAGTCCCCCCGTCCCACCTTGCCGTTACCGGCTCGGTGGGAGAGTCAACCCGGTCGCGCTGCTTGCATCCCGTGGTGGTGGTTGGAGATAAGATAGACTGGTCGCTATAGTGCTTGTACATTGTACTTGCTACTAACGCGGGCCGCGTCATAGATAATCATTTATATTTACTCATAGATACTTTTTAATAATTGATTTTTACACACATTCTCATCTAGGTCATTTACTATTTTAGTAATTATATTTTTTATACGATTTTTGTTAATTATATTTTTTACATTGGTTTTATTAGACTGATTTTCACATTCATACTTTATTAGACTCTTTACATAATTTCCTTAATTGTTGAATATAGTTTTGACCATATAATCGGGAGCACTTTTTGTACTGGATAGTGATATATAAGGTAATTTTATGTTCTTACCTGTTCTACTGTCTATTATATCTGTATTATTAAGTATCTGCATTTGAATTGTTTTTATAAGTGTTTGTTTAATGTATAATTTATAGATTGATAGTATGTTAGTATTTTTAAAAATATCTATTGAAGGGTATGTTGGTGGTAACGAGTAGGCTACTTTTATAATAATTTTCTGAGAAATATATAACGATTTTATGTCTGTTCTGCTGGCACCTCCCCAACATGTTATACCATATAATAAGAGTGAATTACATAATGCCATATAAATTTGCCGTATAACTGATTTCTTAAGAAAGCGAATTTTATAAAATAGGGAAGTTAATCTCCGGATTTTATTTTTGATACATTTTATATGCTCAGACCATTTCAGCTCTTGATCCATTATGACTCCTAAATATTTAAATTGTACCATTTTAAGTGGTTTACAATTGCAGATTGTTTTATTTGTGGAACATTGATGTAATATGAAGTTCAATCCAACTGGAAGCTGTGATCGGTTTGTGACTATCGGCATGCATACTGATTTATTTACATTAAGTGGTAATAAGTTTTTTTCCATCCAGTTATATACAAGCTGTAAGTCAATTTCGACAATTTCTATTAATTTTGACCAGTTTTCTTCGGTATTAACAAGAGCTATATCATCGGCAAACAAATTATTATACCTATCATATTTGCTCACGCTGTATAGAACTAATGGTCAAAAGTAAATAAATATAAAATTTTTGACTTTTGAACATAAAAATTAAAGGAAATGCTGTGGTAATTTTGATAAATTGATTTTAATTATCAATTAATTGTACTATGAAAATTCAACATAAAATTTACTGATGTTCATTTTACGTACCTAAGTTCTCCATCTCTACATAATACCTTTTCCACCTCTAGCAAAGCCGGGGATCACTGTTTTAACGCTCGAATTTAGCCACTTAAAAAAAACCCTTGTATTCTTTTATATAAGAGACTGGAGTCGGTTGATACATTTTGGTGGCCCTGAAAAGGGCCGTTTTTATTTAATTTTTTTGAAATAAACGGCAAAAATTAAGCTTTTTTCTCGGTTTTCTTGGGCAAGAGGACAGCTTGGATGTTGGGTAAAACACCACCTTGAGCAATGGTTACTCCGGACAACAATTTGTTCAATTCCTCGTCGTTTCTGATGGCCAATTGCAAATGTCTGGGAATGATACGAGACTTTTTGTTGTCCCGGGCGGCGTTGCCGGCCAACTCCAAAACTTCAGCTGCCAAGTATTCCATGACGGCGGCCAGGTAAACCGGAGCTCCGGCTCCGACGCGCTCGGCGTAGTTTCCCTTTCTCAGCAGACGATGGATACGACCGACCGGAAACTGGAGTCCGGCACGAGACGACCTGGTCTTGGACTTGCCTCCTTTCGCTTTTCCTGCTTTGCCTCTTCCGCTCATGATTGTTGTTTGTTGTTTCAAAAGCTTACTAATGATTGTTACGCCAAACATTGGATTTTTATATTTATAGGGACAATCTGGAAAACAATTCCGTGATTGGTTTGAAAAAGACGATATGACAATGATACATGGCACCATTATTTATACATTCACTTTTGTAATGTGCTGTTTTTATTCGGCATTCTCATGAACTATACTTGTCTAGATTCTACTATTCTTAGTTACTACGACATAGTTTACGATGCTATTTTTACCGTCATATATTATGGTATTTTAACAAATAGACAAGCGACTTAGCGCTTGAGTTTGTTTAAATATACCCACCGTTCCACTGCGTAACTCATCATCGGTTTACGGACCATTACCGCTTCACCCTGGTTCGTAAACAATATCACCCTTCGCAAATCCACCCGCACAGTCACCATCGAAGACAAAATCAAGATAAACAGCAAAATAATGTTCCACAAAAATCTTACATCTCCCCACCCACACATCCGCGATCTAGGTCGCACAAGAGCTAACCCACTCCTATCGATAAACATAACTCGCCATTTTGATTGGGCACATTCATAATAACATATTATATCAATAAACCATAACAACCCCCGCCAGTCATAGGCTCACGCCTGACACTGGCATATAGGCCCAAAGGCCGTCCTACAAAGCAAAGCAAAGCGTAACTCATCATTAAGTCCACAGCGGTCCAGTCGTTAACAAGTATATCGTAAATCATTCGAAATGGCTCCAGAAGGGAAATCGTCCGGCAAGGCCCAAAAGAACATCGCCAAGTCCGACAAAAAGCGCAAGCCCAAGAGGAAAGAATCGTACGCAATCTACATTTACAAAGTGTTGAAGCAAGTGCATCCGGAGTTGTAGCAAGAAAGCCGTTTCTTCTTTTGTTTTTCCAAGTTGATTTCCCGAGCCATTTGATCTTTTTCTTGACTGAGTTGACTGTATAACGCGTCAAGAGCAACCATTATTACAATACATTTTTTTAACTGTAATATTAAGCGATTTACGAGTTTCTTAAGGTCTCTGCAAATGTGTCATTTTTAAGGAGTTGTGTTTAGGTTGTTATTTGGATCCTGCGATTACTGATCGTCTTTGTGTCTGTGTGTGTATTAAATTATCATTAGTGTGTGCATACTCCCCTACCATCACCCGCAACCCACATCAACTTACAATTACTTACATTCATTAAGCCGGATTTACACGATGATAGTAAAACGCGATAGTTGCTATCGTGATAGCTTCTCTCGTGAGAGTGTCATCGTGTAAACGTAATTATCGTAACTATCGAACTATTGCGATAGTGCTATCACACTATCAAGCATGCATGATAGTTGGTAGTTCTATCGTGATAGTCCTATCGTTCTATCATCGTATGGATACTTCACTTTCATGACAATAACTATCAGGCATTATCACGATAGCAACTATCGCGTTTTACTATCATCGTGTAAATCCGGCTTTAGATCAAAATATTCGGACGAAATTATGGACGTGAAATAGGCAATAGAAGTCACACTGACAAAAATTAAGGTACTTCTAGTAGTTCGATTTAAAAAATGTAAAGATGTTTGTGTTGGTAACCAAGTTTACTTTGCATCGGTAGGAGTACTTTTTCAATTTTAGCAAATTCTTGACGAGAATAAATATTTTACATTTTATAAATTTTTAATATTGAATATATTCAAAAGTATCTAAAATATAAAAAATATGCTATGACCGATGCAAAGTAGACTTGTTGACCAATTAAAACATCTTTACATTTTTTAAATCAAACCACTAGAAGTACTTTAATTATTGTCAGTCGCTAAGGTGGCTTTGATGAAAAATTAATAGTTTGCTGGAGCTTTAATTAAGAAAAGTCCACCAAAGTAGGTATTCATAATTTATCAAATATAAAGTTCTTACAAAAACTTTATTACAAACCAGTGAGTTTGCAAAAGCTTAATAATATATAATATCCGGATTCGTACTTCCATATAGCAAAACCACTGTAGTGTTAGGTTTCAGAGAGTTGAAGTATAAATTGTATTTTGCATATATTGGGGATAAGTGTATATAACATCGGGGTTATCGCATATAAGAATTATGTTGAGGCCCCTACAAACTCTATGAATTTTTTAACAAAAATTTAAATATACATTTTAAAATTAAAAAAAAAACGACCTTAGCGACTGAGAACAATTAAGGTACTTAGTGGTTCGATTAAAAAAATTTAAAAAGTTTTGATTTGTTAGTGGAGTTTACTGAGAATGTTTTAAATATTTCAATATTTTTAATAGTTTTTAATTCATTTAATATAAAAATTAAAAAATGTATAACATTTAAAATGTCTATTCCCGTCAATGATTCATAAAATTGAAAAAGTGTTCCGATTGATCTATAGTAATCTAGCTTATGCCTTCAAAAATCTTTACATATTTTAAATCGAAGCTTTGAAAGTACTTAAATTATTGGCAAAATGACATGTGCACGGCGCGCGAGTAATATGTATGATGCGAGTACTCTGGTGGGAAGTATACACACACAAAAACGACAATGGGACGAATGAATTGCCTAAGCACAACTCCTTTAAAATGACACGTTTGCAGGGGCCTAATAAAAGGATTATTAATTGTACTTAAATCAGTGTAAAACTGAAAATGACATAATTTGGATATAAAAAAGATTTCAATCAATTATTTAAAAAAAAAAAACAAGGTTTTTAGCACCAAAAATCCAAACCCTGGTTATTATTTTCATAAGCCAACGCCTATCAACAATTATTATTATGTATATATACATTTTTGCTTTACGATGAGGTCAAGTCATAACAATTACTATGTAATACATTTTGTATGACTTTAAAACTGTAATAGAATGCCACGCATAACATACATACATTTCAATTTCTGACTTTCTCTGTAGCTGTACGTTTAAATCTTCAACTCGAGACTGGGCCGCTTCTAATTTTTGCAAAATTGCTGGTAAATCGTCGCCTTCTCTCTGTAATTTTTCGTTTTGCTTACGGAGATCTTGCATCTCAGAACTCTTCAATTCTAGTACGGTCCTCAACGATTCTACTTCGTCCAATAGCTTTTGGTAACCCAAACTTGTATTCTATATAAAGATAGGATAAATATATAGATATTAATATTTATGCTCGACGAAAATCAATCATGAACAAAACGATAAATTACCTGTAGCTTTTTGTCCTCGATCAATCGCTGGTTCTCTTCTTTCAGTAAGTCCCTCTCGAACTTCAACAAATCACGTTCATTTTCCAATACCAACACCCTCTGGGTGAGCTCGATCTGTTTTTCCGTAGCCGACTTTTGCATCTGGGACACTTCGAGTTTGTTGGTCTGCTGCAACTCGACGATTTGCTGGTCATGCGAAATTATCAATTTCATTTTATCCTCGTCCGATTCATTTTTGAGTCTGTTGAGTTCTTCGTTGAATTGCAACCTCAAGTTATTAGCTTGCACTTCGAGCTTCTTTTCTAGTCCGTAGATTTCTGTTTCTTTTAGAGAAGTAACTAAAACATAACATTTCAATTGACAAGTATAACAACATTGGTACGTAAGACATCATTTATTTTACAGTTAAAAATAATTCGTAATATATGATATTGGACGCGACGGTTCTTACTTTCATTGATTCATACTTGACAATTTATAATTTAGTTATTGGCACTTCAAAACATTTTTAAAATTAAATAATTTAAAATTGAATTTAAGTACTTAAATTTGTATTCACTTTTACATAGGTGCCTACTAAAAAGTTAATGTATATTCTATTTATTTTAGCTATCTTGACATGCCGAGAAAGAGGGAAAGATGCAAAGAAATTGATGACGATAATGTAATTTTAGTTCCTGAAGAAATTAATGAAGATAATGTAATTTTAGTTCCTGAAGAAATTAATGAAAGCTTTTGGGATAGTAGTAATATAGTTGAAGAGATGATATTAGAAAAGAAAACTAATCAAGAGGAGATGACTATGAGTGTAGAAGAAACCCCAAATTGTTCTTAAACATTATTAGTGAAAATTAGAATATCCAAGATGAAATGGAAATAGAGGGAGCTATAGAGACACCAAGAACTATAAATAAAAAAGTATTTAAAATATCTCCTCTTCAATCATGTCTTGTTTGGCCAGTCACTCCAGAAAGAAAGGGAAAACGTTCTACTGAAAGAATACCGTATGTTATATCATCAGAAAGTTGGCAGAATATACAACAGACTAAAGCAGAAAAGAAAAGAAAGATTGAGATGGAAAAAGAAGACAGAAAAAATATAGAATTGAAAACAGGTTGAAGAACGGTAGTTTAACTGAAAAAACTCTTAAAAAACAACCAACTCGTGTCGAAAAGTTAAAGGTTGCAAGAAATATATTTCCTGAAAAAATCATTAAAAAAAAAATACCAACTGAAACTATAACTAGTGAAGCATTAGCTGAACAAATTGATAACCATAAAAATGTAGTGTTATTTAATGTTGATGATGATGAGAGTGTTAATGATGTAGTAAATTATGTTACAGTAGGACTGTGTTTTAGCTGTGGAAAAAACTTAAGCGAAATATCAAAAGGTGTTGATTGTACTTTTTGTTCCCATATGTACCATTTGAAATGTTTAACTAAAGGTGAATTCTGTGATTTAGGTGTAGGAGAATCATTTCTATTTATTTGCAAACCATGCCAAAACCACTTAAAGTAGTTTATAAGTATAAGGTTAGTAAGAAATAAGTTTTAATTTGTTATAGTAATCTGGTCAACAAAGTAAATGGAAGACTGATTCTTTTTATTACTAATATGTATTTTTAAAGGTTGAGTAAAGTTGTCTTAATTTTTTATTTTTTCTATGGTGGACTTGTACATATCAAAAGTTTTGAATGAGAAGGTAAAATATTTTTTTTTTTATTTAGTTATCTGGTGAATATAAGTTGTAATGCTGATTGTTTTTATCATTTTTAAGTATTTTTAATTTTTATAGACTAAATTGTTTTTATTTTTTAAATAATTTTATGAGTATTTAATAAAGAACCTAGCTGTGTTAAATGATTAATTTATTTAACTTATAATATCCGACTTAAGAACGAGTCTTATTAATAACTTAATCGAGTTAAGAACGATGGTGCAATCAGAATTTGTCGCTCTCATTTAGTTCCGAAGTTATGGCCTTCCAAAGTTTTCGATTTTACGTTTATACGCATGCGCGCAACACTACTATAATGACGCGCGGAGGACATTTTTTGTTATTTACCTACCCTTTCAGCAGGCGCGTATAGACTTACCTAACTTTTATCTACGTATCCCGATTAATACATGGGTTTTTCTACGTATATTTTATATAATAATTTTTATCTTATCTTACGTATTTTTCAAATTGTAACTGATGTATATTATCTGCAAGCGTGGCCACTCGCTCGCTGCGCTGCGCTCGGACAAATTTCCGGAAACTTACCGTTCAAAAGTTATGGCAATTCAAAGTCATTACGCGTAAGTCATTAACACCACCTTAAGTATGTTACAGGAAAAGTTATGTCGTAGTATATGAGCAGTCATTACGCGTGTGTCGGCACTCGTCGACCTACGCTCCTCGGCGCCGTCGCTCAGCTCCGCACATCGAAAATATCCCCCGACTTGCTATGTAACACCACCTCAGTGTTGCCACACGTACGAGAATTCTCGTACTTATACGTTATTTTTATACATTTGTACGAGGTACGAGGAAAGAGCAATCTCGTACGCATTTTATACGAGAATTTTGACTAAATTACTAAAACGTAAATTTCATGAAAAATAATATATTGTTAATTCCCTATTCCATTGTTGAATATTTTTCGAATAGCATTTATCGATACAAAGCAAATTTCAAACAAGTAGTTTATCTGCCATAAATATTTGAAGATAAAATAACTGGTGTTCTGTGGACTGTGGACGGTGGAGTACCACGGGTACCCCTATATACCACTCTCTTCCGCTCACCCAAGGGCCAAGAATTAAGATATACATAACATTATTATATGTTATGTATATCTTAATTCGAGCGCTCACCTAAACTTTAAGTACTTTAACAAATAGACTAATCGTCCGAAATTCGATTTTGTTTTTTGATACATCGAAGTGCTCCAAAATATATTTCTGTATTGATATAATGATTTAAGAATTCCTGCTGTGAATAAGAAAATAAAAAATATTATGCATATAAAAATATTTTTAAAAACATTAATATAGTTAAATAAATAAATTAAGATAGGTGATATATTTAGTATTATTTATTTAATAAATGGTCCAGTATAACTTCTATTTGACATTGTACATTTTAAGATAATTTAAGATTAACATTGCTTGATAATGAAATACAATCGATAGGTATTCTTTCTACAATTATTATTAGAGTGAAAATAAATTGAATAAACTGTCTTTTGTTTCTATAATAAAGTATTGGAGAATATGTATTTGATTTTTGACTTTTGAGGTAAAGTACAAGAAAATGTTGTAACTTTCATTTTGCATTTTGATAGAAATGTGTTCGAACTACTTCGAAGGAAAATAATAAGGTTATAACACAACACTGCACCACCTCAAGTATGTCACAGGGTACATAATACATAACTACATAAGTTTCAAAAAAAGAATGTATACCGAATACGTATGTACCAAAAAATAACAAAAATGGTTCTCCGCGCGTCATTGTAGTAGTGTTGTGCGCATGCGTATAAACGTAAAATCGAAAACTTTGGTAGGCCATAACTTCGGAACTAAACGAGAGCGACAAATTCTGATTGCACCATCGTTCTTAACTCGATGAGATACATAAGTTTCCATAAAAAAAATTGAAAAAATCGCTTGGCCCCTAAACTAGATTTATGCCGAAGTCGTGTAGCTATAATAAATATTTAGATATAGAGTATTTTTTACATTTGACCTCCAAAGTACCAACAAGATTAATTTTCCTACAAAAAAGTGTCGCTATTATTTTACTGTCCTAAAAGTGAACAACCTACCAGTCGTAGTTGTGGACGTGTTATATTGGAATTCAATGATAAATTATTGTAAACGAAAAACGATTTTGGTTTATTGGTATTATTTTGGATTATTGGTACTACTATTAAGAATCGCGATTTTCTACTACCAGAAAAACACACAATTTGTAAATCAATAATATAATATCTATAATTTCGGCTCCGGGTAGTGCACAAATAAGTAACATAAATCATTATTGGAATATTCCATTGTCTGTACATTTTGTAAACGTGGTGGCCCTGAGAAGGGCCGTTTTAATGTCAGAATGTCAGATATTATAATATGGTCCAAAGAAATGAATTATTTGGAGCTCGTGTATTTGGTGACGGCTTTGGTTCCTTCACTGACGGCGTGTTTGGCCAACTCGCCGGGCAACAAGAGTCGGACGGCGGTTTGGATTTCCCGACTGGTGATGGTCGAACGCTTGTTGTAATGAGCTAAGCGACTGGATTCGGAAGCGATGCGTTCGAAGAGATCGTTGACGAAACTGTTCATGATGCTCATCGCCTTTGACGAAACACCGGTGTCGGGATGTACTTGCTTCAACACTTTGTAGATGTAGATGGCGTACGATTCTTTCCTCTTGGGCTTGCGTTTTTTGTCGGACTTGGCGATGTTCTTTTGGGCCTTGCCGGACTTTTTCATCGCTTTGCCGCCTGCGGATTTACCTCCTGGAGCCATGTCGATATGTGTAGTTGATAATATTGCCGTTGTCAAGTAAACGTTTGGTCTGAATGATGCCGGGAACTTACTTACTTACTTGGTAGGACGGCTTTACGCCTATATACTATACCAGGCTTTTTGCCTTTGTTAGTAGCTGGATGTCGAAGTGGAATTTGTAACTGAGGATTCTTTTTAATTTTTGTTATATATTTAACTTTCTGCCCACAGTTTTACTCTAGGCCGTTGTTTGTGTCTAGAGGCATGGGATGGGTGGGAAATCTGACCAATATTCCTTATATGATTGTATTGAGATGTTGAGATTCGGTGGAAGGTTGCTAAGGCATTCTTTTTGGTTAAGTGCTTGATAGGGATGAGACCAGTTGTGTGAAGAAGTACAGAGTTTTTTACGATGGACGGTTGACCTAATATTACTCTGATACTAATTGTCTGTACTGCTTCAATTTTCCTCCATGTAGATTTACTGATGAAGGGTGCCCATGCTTCACCGGCATAAGTTAAGATAGGGATAATGTACATTTTGAAAAGGTTTAGTTTGGTTCTGGTGGGGATTGGGCTTTTTTTGGTTAAAACTGAGTATAGAAGGCCGCGAATTTGAGTAGCTTTTTTGACAATGTTTGATGCGTGAGTAGAAAAGTTTAGTTTGTGGTCAATTGTTACTCCTAGATATTTAACGCTCCTGGACCAAGGGATTTGAATGTTATTTATTTGGATATTTTTGATATTTGTAGTCTTTGTACGGCCGAACAGGATTGCTGTGGTTTTGGATTCATTTATACGAAGTCGCCATTTTTTGAACCAGTCTGATGCCAAGTTTATTTGTTTTTGAAGCTGTAAAGATGCAAAACGAGCATTGTGGTTTGCACAATAAAACATTGTGTCATCCGCAAATAGAGAGACTCGAGAATTAATATTCGTAGGTAGGTCATTTGTATAAATATTAAAGAGCGTAGGAGAAAGACAAGAACCTTGTGGCACGCCCGCGTTAGCCTTTCTTAGTGACGAGTTTTGGTTTTCAATTTTGACAGAAAAGGTACGTTCCGAGAGGAAAGAATCAGTAATTTTTATAAGTTGTAGAGGGATATTCATGGACATCATCTTGTGGAGAAGTCCGTCATGCCAGACACTATCAAACGCTTTTTCGACGTCAAGGAAGATGGCAGCTGTTTGGATACCTTGGTTCAGATTTACGCTGATTTGGTCTATTAGTTTGGTCAGTTGGAGGACAGTGGAGTGATTTTGACGGAAGGCGAACTGTTCGTCTCTTATTTTGTCAGCTAGATATTTTTGGAGGTGTTGAAGGATTAAACGTTCGTATATTTTTGAGAGGGAGGAGAGAAGAGCTATAGGCCTATAATTTTCTGGTAGTTGAAGATTTTTGCCAGGTTTTGGAATAGAAATTATGGACGACATTTTCCATATGCTTGGAAAGTAACACAGATTAAAGCAACCGTTTAAAATTTTAGTTAAATCTAGTAATTTGTTCTTGGGTAGGAATTTAAGTGCAGTGTTTGTGATTTGGTCTCTGCCAGGGGCTTTATTCTTTGCTAGCTTGGATATAAGTTTTTGGATTGTTCCTGGTGTGGTGAAGAGATTGGGTTTTTCTAACACTGAGCCTCTGATTGTCGTAATGCTCTCAGTTACTTCTGGGAGATTTGGTCCTTGAAAAGTAGAGAACTGTCGTTCCAGGGAGTCTGCAATAATCTCTGTTTTTTCCTCCGCGGAGTAGGATAAACCATTTGGACCAAGTAGTGGGTGAGTGGCTGGTCTTTTTTTTAGTAAACTTCTATTTAATTTATAAATGGAATTTTCACTTTGGTTTAGGGAAGTTAGGTATTTGTCCCATTCATCTTCTCTGTGGGTTTGGAGCATTAACCGTATGAGGTTTATTTTGGCATTTAGAGATCTTTTAATCAGGGGGTCTCGGGTTTGTTGCCAATCTCGGCGGATTCGGTTTTTAGCGTTTATTTCTTGCTGTATTTCTGCGGGGATGACCGGGCGGCGACCGTTTTTGATACGAAGATACGAGCTATTATCAAGAGCTGAATCGATAGAATTGGTGAATGCTTGAATACTGTTGTCAATGTTTTGCTTGGAGTTAATAAGAAGAGTTTTGCTAGGTTTTTCTGCACTAAGTGTGTGATAAAATTTATCCCAGTTGATTAGGGAGTTTGGAGTAGGAGGGGAGACTGTGATTGGTGAGTCAGAGAATTCAAGTAATATTGGATTGTGATCTGAAGATAACTCGTTCAAGTTTGTGACGTGTACTAGAAGATGAGTGCGGATTATAGCAATATCTAATACGTCAGGTCTATATTTTTTACAGCTTGGAAAGTGTGTGGGGGTGTCAGGAGCGATGATAGAGTAGTCATTTTTCAGAAGGTGGTTGTAGAGTATTAGCCCAGCAGAGTTTGTTCTGCAGCTGTTCCAGAGTGGGTGTTTTGAGTTTAGGTCACCAGCATTAATAAAATTATCTGCACTATTGATGAGAAGGTCAAGGTCAGATGTAATTAAGGTTGATGATGGAGGTTTGTAGACTGAAGAGATGAGGGTGGTTTTGTTGTTAATTTTAATTAAAATAGATGTAGACTGAAGTTTAGTATTTATATTGGTTGGTTGATGAACTATTTTACGATGAACTAGGATAGCTGTACCGCCATGGGCTGGAGAACCACGGATTGGCGGTAGGTCGTTCCTATATGTGATAAAATTAGGGATCTTGAGACTTAGATTGGGTTTGAGATGAGTTTCATTTAGAAGTATGATATCGGGTTTATTAGTGGAAATGAATGCACTAAGTTCATTAATTCTTCTTGTAATGCCGTTTGCGTTCCAATGTACAACTTTTAGATTTGAAATCATTGTTGGTTTGCAAATAGGGTTATAAAGGATTTTATAGTAGATATTAACATGGATTTGGGATCGTCCGATGTAGACAGAACTGAGAGGAGATCAGTTAAAAGTTCGATTACCTGTTCGCTATTTAAAGTCTTCTTGGGTTTAGTTACGGAGGCATAATCCTTTTTAGTGGTAACTGCTTTTTGTGGTAGATTTGGTTGTGCTGCAGGGGATGGCGGGTTTGGCTGTGGAATTTTGGATAGCTTGGAACTTGCGGCTTGGGCAAGGTACGGACAACCACGGTAGTTTGCCGTGTGATTGCTACCACAGTTGCAACACGTTGGCTCTTGGTCAGCGGTTTTAGGGCATAAGCTGGCTTTGTGTTCACCTGAGCATTTTACACATCTAAGTGGGTGGGTACAGTTTGAAGAGCCGTGACCAGTGCGTTGACAAGCAAAACACTGGGAGGGGCCCGTTTTTTTGTAGGACTCAACAGTGACCTTCAAGAAGAATAGTTCAGAGATTTCATAGATGTTTTTCGAATTTTGAGTGTTGCCAAGAATGACTAGGCATATTGGCATGGGTTTGTTGACAGGTCCGAAACGTTTCACAAGTTTAACGTCAAAATTTAACAGTTCGAGTTCGGATTTTAACTCATCAGTAGAAATGTCAGTGGGTATACCTCTTAACACTACTTTGAGGGTGCGCTCCTCTGGGAGTTTGGACGTTTTGAACATGATTTTTTGATCCAGGAGAGTTTTCTGGATTAGCCTGAAGTGATCAATCACATGGGTTTTAATAATTATAGATCCGTCAGAGGTTGCCTGCGCAGATATATTTTGTGGAGAGACGATGGCATTTCTGAATATGATCGGTGCAATTTTGCGCCAATCAGAAGATTTGCTTACAAAGATAGGTGGGATACGAACTGCGGGCTTTGCGTAATCTTGCTGTGATTCGTCTGAGTTGATTTGCTTCGGGAAACATGAAATCATGCCGGGAACATTGCATTGCATTGCTTGTGTGACGGCGATATGCCTATATACTCGTTCCAGGCGATTGCCTATGACGAGTTGAGTGAGATGCGGTGGATGATTTTATTTAGTTAGAGTTAGACCATTGGACGGGGCGTGGTTTTATGGATTTTGAGATTGGTTCGGTAGCTAATGTGGATTTTCCAAGACTGCGGATGTGGTTGAAAGTAGAATTTGAGTTGCGGTGAAAAAAGTTCTTGCTGTTAATTATTACTGATTGCTTGACGGTACTACGGTAGAGGTACGAGTTGAAGAGCGGATTATTTTATTTGACACAAACCATTGGGATGATGTGATTCTACGGAGGCCAATATTTTGGACGGCTTCGAGTTTGCGCCAATTCGCTTCAGATATTAATGGTCCCCACGCCGGTCCGGCGTATGATAGAATGGGTTTTATATACATTTGCAGTATATTAAGTTTCGTCGTAATGGGAATGGGGCTGGAGCGGTTTAGGATCGGGTACAGCATGCCGCGGACGGCGGTGGCTTTCTTGATAGTGGACTTGATGTGTGCTGAGAATGTAAGATTTCGATCAAGGGTTACGCCGAGATAGTTAGATGTAGGAGACCAGGGGATTTGGGTACCGTTTAGATTCAGGTGGTGTGATGCGAAGTTGTTGGGGCCGTTGAACATGACTGCAACCGTTTTTTGAGCATTGATGTTGAGAACATGCCGGGAACAGGAAAAACATGAGTATATATTACCAAACCAAAGCTATACGTCGATCGTTCATTGGTCGAAAAGTCCTAAATGTGACGGACTAAACAAGATTCGACGGTAGTTACGTGATGGTATAAAATAATAGTTTCTCTACAAAAAAAAAATATAAAAGTGCCGAGTGAAAACCGCATAGTTGAGTAGCGATTGATGGGCAGACGGTATCAAGTTGCTTCGTGTAACTGTTTCGTTATATCCAATAACATAAATGTTTCAATATTTTTGCTTATATAAGGCGAATATCCAAAACATTTTTAACACAGAAATTCCCAATCAACATTCGCCCACATCCGCGACATTGGAACATCACCAGCTCCTCAAATACTCACACGCCGACCAAGACCAATCAACTTTGCGAAATTACAATAATATACACCACATCCTGACAACCAGCCATTAAAAAATTCAAACATAAGTTATAGGCATCGCCTGACACTTACAAACACAGCTGGGGTTTTTTCCCTGGCTCCCAATTCGAAGCAAAGCAAGCATTTTTATCAAAGTACGTGGGTGTGGTGAGTTTTAGAGTCCGGAAGCAGTCGTCAACAAATCAGTCATGAGCGGAAGAGGCAAAGCAGGAAAAGCGAAAGGAGGCAAGTCCAAGACCAGATCGTCCCGTGCCGGACTCCAGTTCCCGGTCGGTCGTATCCATCGTCTGCTGAGAAAGGGAAACTACGCCGAGCGCGTCGGAGCCGGAGCACCGGTATACCTGGCCGCCGTCATGGAGTACTTGGCAGCTGAAGTTTTGGAGTTGGCCGGTAACGCCGCGCGTGACAACAAGAAGTCTCGTATCATTCCCAGACATTTGCAATTGGCCATCAGGAACGACGAGGAGTTGAACAAATTGTTGTCCGGTGTAACCATGACTGATTTGTTGACGACTGCTTCCGGACACTAAAACTCACCACACCCACGTACTTTGATAAAAATGCTTGCTTTGCTTCGAATTGGGAGCCAGGGAAAAAACCCCAGCTGTGTTTGTAAGTGTCAGGCGATGCCTATAACTTATGTTTGAATTTTTTAATGGCTGGTTGTCAGGATGTGGTGTATATTATTGTAATTTCGCAAAGTTGATTGGTCTTGGTCGGCGTGTGAGTATTTGAGGATCTGGTGATGTTCCAATGTCGCGGATGTGGGCGAATGTTGATTGGGAATTTCTGTGATAAAAATTTTTTTTTTGCTTTGGTGGGACGGCCTTTGGCCTGTTTAAGAGCACCAGGCTAAGCCTTTTCTCTCTGAATGAGGTAATTTAATTGATAGGTTTTGGTCTGTTCATGGGACTAGACATGATAAGTGTGGATATTTGCTCCTTGAAAGTGTATGAGCAAGGTTTTTTGATAGGTGGAGTGCTTCGTCTTGGAGGGTTTCGATGGACATTGAGTTCCGTAAGTTTAGATTTGAGACCAGGTAGTGGGCGCCGGTCATGGTACGTAGTGCTACGGACTGGAAGATCTCAATCTGTTTCCAAGATGATTGGCGAATTCTGTTTCTCCAAACGGGAGCTGCATATAAAATAATGGGCTTAAGGTATATTTTGTATATTGTCAGTTTGTTAGCCAGTGGAACAGTGCTGTTTCGGTTTAGGATCGGATGTAGTGCAGCCCAGGCACCGCGAGCCTTTCGGATGGTATTTTTGATATGCTTGTCAAAGCTTAGATCGTGGTTGAAGGTGACTCCAAGATATTTTGCGTGATTGCTCCATTCGAGATGTTGGTTTTGTAATTTTAACTTCATGGTTTGTTTTTGGGATCGAGGCCCAAATATCACTGCTACCGTTTTGGATACGTTTAATTGGATTCTCCATTTTGTGAGCCAGTCGTTCGTGATGTCCAGTTGTCTTTGAAGCTTGTATACTGCATATTTGTAGTTATGGTTGCTCGTGTAGAGAAGGGTATCGTCCGCAAAGAGGGCCAGTGTGACTGGTCCTATGGTCGGGAAATCGTTTATGTAGACTGAGTATAAGAGCGGTGATAGACATGACCCCTGAGGGACACCCGCTTCTATGTTACGAGATGTAGATAGGTGATCAGATATTTTGATTTTGAAAGTACGGCCTTTAAGAAAGGATTCAATGAGTACTATAAGTGAGTGAGGAACGTTTGAGAGTGTTAACTTGTGGATGAGTCCTTCGTGCCACACGCGGTCAAAAGCTTTCGCCACGTCTAGGAAGACGGCTACAGTTTTTTCCCCCTTCTGAGATCTTTGGTTCAGGTCGTCGGTCAATGTGATAAGCTGTGTGATCATAGAGTGGCCAGTACGGAAAGCGTGTTGTTCACATCTAGTTTTTACGTGGATGTTAAGCTTACGTAGAATTATTCTTTCAAATATTTTAGACATGGTGTTGAGGAGTGATATAGGCCTATGATTGTCTGGCATTTGGTGATTCTTCATGGGTTTTGGGATCATGACAATTTGAGCCTTTTTCCACTGGTCAGGGAAGTAAGAGAGTCTGAGGCATGACGTGTAAATGTTCGCTAGGAGGATAATTGCAATTTTTGGAAGGTGTTTCAATGCCTTGTTGGTAATGCCATCCTCGCCTGGTGCTTTTGCTGAAGGGAGTCCTTTTATTATGCCAGATACTTCTTTCGGCGTAACATATTCTTCCGATGGGGGATTTACAAGGTCCCGTAATCTTTGGATTGAGTTGGTGACTTCAGGTGATGGTGGGCCCGGGTTGTTTTGGAACTGGGCTGACATTGTGTCTGCGAAAAGTGCTGCCTTTAAGTTAGTGTCGTAGATTTTTGTCCCATCAGGTGCTTTGAGAGGTTGACATGCTGGTTGTTTGTGGAGGAGTCGTCGGTTCAATTTGTATATGGATTTGTTTTTAAAATTGAGAGTGGCAGTAAAAGAGTTCCATTCCGATTGTCTGTGGCGAGTGAGGATATCTTTGACATGGGAAACCTGTGCGTTGTATAGCGTTTTCACCCGAGGGTCGCGCGTACGTTGCCAGTTTTTCAGTAGTAAACGCTTGGTATCAATCTCAAGCAGTATGTCATCAGGTAGTGATTTTGGTTGGTCTTGTGTTCGCGATTCGTAGGAACAGTTTTTGATCTCAGATTGGATGGTTTTGGTGAGTTGGTCGATGTTTTTGTTGATGTCTTCGATGGTGGTGATGCGAATGTTTTTAATTTGGGGAGTTAGTTCGGTTTGGAACTTTCTCCAGTTTATGCGTTTTCTTGCTGATGGTGGCCCACCCATTGAAGGTCGGGATGATATGTTTAGCATCTGAGGGTTATGGTCTGACGATAATTCGCAGTGATTGGTTAAGAGGTAGCGCGTGTTTGGCAAGTCTAGCAGGAAAATGTCGAGGATGTCTGGTCGATGGGTCGCGATGTAGGGATAGTGTGTTGGCGAGTCAGAGGCAACGACCGAGTATCGGTTTACCCGCTCGGCATGTTGTACAAGGGTTTTGCCTGATTTGTTACGTTGTGGGCAGTGCCAATCTGTGTGCTTAGCATTTAGGTCACCGCCAATTATGAGAGGACCATCGTGGTTGGTCAGCGCGTCTAAATCTGTTGGTTTGAGTGTAGCACCCGGGCTTTTGTATACTGCAGTTACCTGGGTGATGTTGTTTTCGAGTTTTATATTAACCGAGGTCGAGTCGAGCTCGGTTGGAATATTTACGGGTTGATGTACAATGCCACGACGGATAAGCACTGCGGTTCCCCCGTTTGGAGGGGTTCTTGTCCGTGGTTGGCGGTCTGTGCGGTAAGTATGAAAATTTGGGATTTTGAGCTGTGTTTTGGGGTCGAGGCGGGTTTCTCCAAGCAGGATTATATTTACATTGTGAATTTTTACAAATGCCGTCAGTTCTGATATTCGGTTTCCGATACCGTTGCAGTTCCATGATAAGACTTTTAGGTCATTCATCATGGGATGTAGGGATGGCGTTTATGATTCTCAGGACTGTTGTGATGACCGCATTTTTTGATGCGACGTCTTCACTTTCTTGAGCTGTTGTAAGGAGGTCTTTGATTATTTGCAAGAGCTTGGATGCGTTTATTGTAGGTTCTGGCTTTTCTGCTTGGTGTTTTGCTTTGCTTTGGGAGGGGTGGCTATGCCGTTTACTATTCCAGGCTTGTGCCTCTACTAGTGGATGGATTTTGGGGTTGATTGGTAGGTTCAGTTATGTAAGTCAGTCCAATTTAATGGGTATGGTTTGAGTAAACGTTTGGTGGTTGGAGGGGAGTGGGTTTTACCTAAGAGGCGGATATGATCGTATTCGGAAAAAGAGTTTTTGTAGAACATTGTTTTTGATTGAGAGCAAATGGAATTTTGGATAGATTTGAAGTTGGCTGATTTTAAAAGGACCGAGTTTCTAACGATAGTGGGCATACCGGTTATCGTGCGTATGCCGATGTTTTGGACGGATTCAATACGTCTCCAATGGGAGGGGCCAATAAAGGGTGCCCAGGAAGAGCCAGCATATGTAAGTATAGGGGTCACGTAGAGTTTAAGTATGTTAAGTTTTGTTTTCAGCGGAACGGGAACTTCCATTACTGAACTCGGTTCCTACGCGGACGATACGGCAATTGTGGCCTCCAATGAAAACCCAAACACAGTTTCTAATATGTTACAAAGACACCTTAACATAATTGACCTCTGGACAAAAAGATGGAAGATCAAAATCAATGAAACCAAGTCCTCCTTCATAACATTCACCCTAAAAAAAGGATCTTGCCCCGTAGTCACATTAAACAGCATCCCAATACCTTCCTACTCTGAAGTCAAATATCTTGGCCTCATCCTCGACAGTAAACTTACCTGGAATCCCCACCTAAAAGCCAAACGCAAAGCCCTTAATACCCGACTCCACCTCCTTAGACCCTTACTGAAATCCAAAATGAATATCAACATCAAACTTCTAATTTATAAGTCACTACTCAGGCCACTATGGACTTATGGCATGCAATTATGGGGTGCCGCTAAACCCTCAAACACCCGTACAATCCAAGCCTTTCAGTCAATATGCCTTCGCCTAGTTGCATCAGCACCCTGGTACTTAACCAACAATAATCTCCACAAAGATCTCAAAATCCAAAATCTTAACCAAATCTCCAAACTATATTACACCAGACTCCACAACAAATTTCAACATCACACAAATCCACTAATCTCTAAACTATCAACCAACTCACTCCCTGGTAACCCGCGCCGTAGACTAAAAAGGCAATGGTGTAGAGATCTTCTTTGAAAAGTGAGCTTAATAAGTGCTGGAGGTCGCTACCAGGTAACACCTCCAAACCTCAAATTAATTACTTATTTACTGTCTTATATTATATAACTATATATTTTTTTTTTTCTCTCTCTTCTCTCTCTCTTCATTGTTATTCATGTCATAGGGTGTTACCACTGGGTATCTTCCCTAATCTAACTACTCATATCATATTTTTACCTTTCTTATATCAAACCTACTTATTGTACAAAAAGCATGTATAGATTGTAGATTTCTTCAAATAAATAAAAAAAAAAAAAAACTATATATTTAAAATGCATAGGCAGAAATAATCACATTATAGATATGCAGGAATAAAAAAGATTTTATAATATTATTATTTTGTGTTACTTATTTTATTTTAAAAGTTATCCTTTTTCAAAAAGTGTGGCTATTCCAAATAATCACCCCCGAAGACGAGAACACAAACTCTATATAAAAACACTCTATACATATATTCTTGATGGTAAGAACATTATCTGTGTTATGATGGAAGTTTTTTTTACGATTATTCAGTTTTTAAGTAATTAAGCTTTTTTAATTTAGGTACATTTATTATGCACGCATAAGTCATTTAAAAATGGAATTATCGTAAAATAGCTTTTATCAAAACACAGATAATGTTCTTACCATCAAGTTTCGTAATATATCGATTCACTCTAATTTTTAAGCTAATGGCATAAATGGTGAACTGCCGAGTGTAAATTTGGTATGTTACGCGATTCTAAGACGGAGACAACACATGCGGTTTGCTGCTTGAGACGTGCCATCACTTGACTGTTTGATAATTGATAAACAATTTCATAGAAATGAAATGGTCAATGATGCGCCAAGCTTTGACTTGCTTATATGACCGACCAGATTGGTCAGTTCACAAACTGGAGACTTGGCATAAATACAAACAAAACGGTTGCTGTTATGTTTAACAAAAAGTCAACTATAAACATGCAACAAATAAAAATGACAGGAGTAGCCATCCCATGGATAAATCAAGTAAATTACCTAGGTGCCACCTTCGATAGTTACCTACTTAACTTTTAACAAATACGTACAAAGCACAATACTCAAAGCTCGAACGACCAAAGGCATACTCTACCCTATTTTAAATAGGAAAAGTCCCGTACCCCTAAAAACGAAACTCCAAATATATTTACTTTACATAAGACCTCTATTAACCTAAGCCACCGAGGCCTGGGGCCCATGCATCTCACACTCAAACTCAAAACATCATCAGTCTTTTTATAATATTTAATAGGGTCTTTAATTTTTTTAAGTTTATCTTCATACAATTTTAATTTTTTAACATCATCAGTCCTTTTATAATATTTAATAGAGTCTTTAATTATTTTAAGTTTATCTTCATAATATATAATTTTTTTAACATCAGTATTTTTATAATATTTAATATTGTCTTTAATTATTTTATGTTCATCTTCATACAATTTAAAATTTTTAACATCATCAGTATTTTTATAATATTCAATATTGTCTTTAATTATTTTAAGTTCATCTTCATACAATTTAAAATTTTTAACATCAGTATTTTTATAATATTCAATAGTGTCTTTATAATATTCAATAGTGTCTTTACTTATTTTAATTTTTTTCTCTAACAGTGGAGGTAAATCAGATAAATATCTTTCACAAATATGACATTTATCAGATTTATTATAATAATTATTTAATTGTTCTGCATTCAATGTTTTCATAGGAACTATTTTATCATATATTTTAGAAATAAGTTTTTCTTCATTTTTCATACATTCATAAAATTCTTGAGCAACGTTTGGACCAGAATATGTTACATGAGGTTTATAATCACCATTACTATATTTAATATAATAACAAAAATTATTAGGTATATGTTTCTGATAACAATTAGTAAAAGACTCTGTATCATTTGGTTGACAAGTATATATTGGTTTAAGAGTACATTCATAGTCAGCAAAAACCATAAAAGGTACTCTTAAGGAATGATTATAATTTTGAAATTCTAAAGTTTTATTATAGAGTTCTGGTAGAACTATTTTAGCAGCTTTATTATTAGCACAATAATGTTTATGATCATTTAACTTATTTTCTGTATCAAAACTATTTAAACACATTTTACACAAAAATCTTTTATGACCATCTTTTGTATTTTGTCTTCCTACTACTTTCCATAAATCTTTAATCCAACAATAATGTCCTTTATTCACATTATCCTTATCATCCACTGTTAAATATAATAAATCTATATGATTAGTTTTTTCGATTTTAGTTATTTCTAAACATTCAATTACATTTTTATCTGAACAATAAATATTAATAGAAATATCTTTTGTTCTTTTAACAAATTTCGGAACGTCTGTGATTTTTACCGGAAATTCAATATCTTTAAATTCTTTATCAAATTCATTTTTAAAAGGAATATATTTAGTTACTCTTTGAGCATCTTTTTCAACAGGGTGTAAAGCAGAGAGTATTGCCCAAAGAAAACATTTATCATCTTTATTTTTAACATTTATAATACCATTTTTATTACTAATATGTTTAGGTAATGGAATATATGAAGAACCCTTAAAAGGAACATATTTATTTATATTTATTCCCAAACTTAAAATTTGATGAAGTCTCCATTGTGAATTTTTCATTACAAAATCTTCTTCTTCTTTTACAATTTTAATTTTTGCATTTGTATAAAATTCATTTAAGTTAGAATTTTTTGTTAAAATTTTATTTTGTGTTTTAAAATTTTTTTCCTCATATTCCATATCTTCTTCATTATTACCTCTCTTATATATAGCAAGAAACATAATATTAACTTTTAAATTTTGATTCTTTAATTCTTGTTCAAGTCGTTCAATTACTGGATTATCTAAACGATTTAAAAATGTTTGTATATCTTTAAAACCTATATTATTTTTAATAATATAAGTTTTTAATCTACTTTGAAATGCTGTTTCTACAGTTTTAAAAACAAGTTCTTTTCTTGGTCTTATACCATTGTTTTGATGTCGAATAGATTGCA